TTGGTCTTTATCCTCTCTTAAACCTTAGCTGTGTTTTTTTTCGTTGACAGTTTAAGTCATTATCATAGGTCATTATAATAATTGAATAAAACAAAATATTTCATGACGTATACATTTTGTAACCTTATTACATTTATTTCGATTTTTAACGTTCAGTATAGTTCAGTTTAGTAGAATTAAAAGCAACGCAAAAAATTAAATTGTTTTAATATATCATTACATTTCACATAATTTTATACTCCGTTCGTAATTCACCTTATTCTGGAATATTTACTTGGAAGGAAAAAAATGACTATGTATGCACTTGTACGTAGTATGTATGTATGTAAAAATTTGTTGTCAAGTTTTATGAAACAGATAAACCGATTTAAATAATTTAAGAGACAATCCATTAGTATTGATAACGCGATTGCGAGTTCATTTGCGAAAAGCAGATCAAAGATTCTTTTCTACATTTAGCAAATAGCATATTTTTGTGAAGTTTCGTGTTTCTTACAAATATTAATCATTTTCAGTTTAAATCATTTTACATTAACAAGTTACTAAAAAAAATTAATTGATTTATTTGAAGCTTAAATTACACAAAAATTACATGAAGGATTATATGGTATGTTTGCCTTTTTGTCGAAATTAAGCTTCACCCTTGTATTGAAACGATTTATAAGTCATTTTATAATTCTGAATTTCAACATCGATGGATATATTGAAGAAATAGTAATTATTCTGTAAATTATTGAATAAAATATTCGATTGTCTATAAATGCTATAACATGTTTTTATATTGAAAATTTAATTCAAATTATATTTATTTATGATGTGAAGCTATTCTAATAAGTTTTGAAATTGTATAAATTTTATCTATATTTTCAGATGAATCTTAGATATTTAAAGTCGCAAAAATACAAACATTTAAATTAGCTCATAAATACGTAAAAGTAAAGGAACTCTAGATTGAGCATCAAATGCTTGACAATTTAGTTTAATGAAATTTTGAAAAATTGAAGTTGTATAATGTACAATAACTGATTTTTCATAACGTGAAAATATTGATAATTTTTGAAAATTGTAAATACTCTGAAAACTTGAGTGATAAGTGTGACAAATATCGAAAAAAAAAGTTTATGAAAATTTTACAAAAAGATAAAAATTTAAATACTTCAAACTTTGTAAATATGTTGAAATTTGAGAAAATTTGTCGAAAAAATGATTTTTTTCAAAATTCTGTAAAATAAGATAGTTTATCAAATTCCTAATATATAAATAAAAAGAAGTTAAATAATTTTGCGATAATAATGAATATTGAGCTAAATTTGAAAACCAGTCATTCAGAATACTAGACAGAGTAGAGTAGAGTATTTTTATTTATATTCTCTATACAAAAGATGTTTCCTTTCAATTGATCATTGGCAGGTAGAATAGTAAAATTTATAAATCATCTGATATTGATATAATAATATAGCTGTCCCGAGTGTAGTGCCAAATGCCGATTTATGTATTTTATTTAAATACTAGCTGTACTCGATCATGCGTTTCTGTATTATAACTATAAATAAAAATCCATCCACAAATGCGATTCTGTTATATCTAGTTAGTAAGATGAAAAATACCGCAAGTATCTTTCGTGGTTCATTGTTGAGCTGTATTAGATGCATCAGCAACCCAATATATAATATAAGCTTATAAACATATCAGTATTTATTGAAACTCAGAAAATTTACTGTAAAAACCAAATAAAGTACATCACAACACATAAAACATATCAAATAATCAACTATTGAAATATTCTCAGCTATTACCTAAATATACAAATATGTTTGTATGCTATTTTTTCATAGGGGGCAAATACATCCAATGTCTCATTTTTTATTATAAAAAGTTTTCCGAAATACAAGCTACATTATTTACCCAATGCCAAATACAAATTTCATGTGTCCATTTTTATAACGATTATACCATGAATATTCATCACCATAAATGGAATAAACTATTAACTTAATTTATCTTTTGTAAAATTTATATTTTAAATTAATACACAGTTTTATTTAGTATTATTCTAATTTTTACAAAGGTTCAGTTGTAAAACATTAACAAAAAGACGATAATTGACCATTTATCGATCAGGTTAAAAATGAATAAGAAAATTGAGAAGCGTGGTAGGAGGGTAAAAATTGAGGGTTGCTCAAATTGAAAAAAGTGATCCAATAAATTAAAAATAAATGAAATCTCATGATGGAATTACTTTTTTATGTAAAATTGAGCTTTTTCATAAAAATTCAATAGAAATTCATTTTTTTCTATACGCATTATAAAGAAATCAAAATTGACCAACATATAAAAAAAATTCTTCGAGGCGGCCAACCGCTACCACTTGGTTGCGATCAAAATATGCGAAAACCTGTCCGGGGATTTACCTATAACAGTTTCCCAAATTTTTACGGCGAAAGAATAATTAACTAGTTGGTATCAGTATTTTGCTTTGAGGCAAGTTACATGAACTTCCCGATATGTAAATAATCGATTTAATCAATAAAAAATAGATTCATTTATTAGTGATTAAAAGTATTCCGAGTCGATTTATTACACATATTTGAAAACGAACGAACACGTTAACTCGGAGTATTCTCTAAAACAAATTTTCACAAATCAATAATTTTTATAACCAGTTTCCGTAAGATTTTAATGGTTTAGTATGTTCATCAAGACCAAGAACTCTATCGTTATACCAAGTAAATCATCTAATTTTAATTTTAACAAACATCAAAAAAACTATTCATTTACTCAAACTTTGATGAATTTTTAAAATTAAACTACTTGTCGTAAGGCCGTAATATTTCAATAAGTTGTATAAGACTATGATATATATCATCAAAAAATTCCATAAAAATCGGCTCATTTTTTTTTTTTACAAGAAATTACAAGAAAATGGCTCGGTAGATTTTCACCTAAAACTAATCAGTATATCATTCCCAACTAATATCTTTCGAACAGTTTTTGATTTTTTAAAATCGATTCGGTAGTATGAGCTTAAATGTGGACGAAAAGTTTAACTTTTTTTTCAAATTACAAAGAAACGCTTCGGCAGATTGTCGCACAAAACTGACAAACGATAGTCCTCATTGAGATACATCAAATGGCTTTTAAATTTCTGAAATCGGTTCAGGAGTTTTTGAGCAAACGTCGTTGAAAGGTCTAATTTTGACAAATGCCAAAAAAACGATACTAATTTTTGCAAACTTTGACGAGTTTTTAAAGTTAAACGAGTTGTCATAGGGCCGTAATATTTTAGTATGATCTATAAGATTATGGTATCTACCGTCAAAAAAATAACAATAAAAATCGTCAAAAAAAAATTTAACACTTTGTTACAAGAAAACGACCCGGCCGATCTCTACCAAAAACTAATCAGGTAGATTCCCAACTAATATTTTTCGAACGGTTTTTGAATTTTCAAAATCGATACAGAACTGCGAGCTAAAACGTGAACGAAAAAGTTTTCACTTTTCTGCTATTTATAAAGAAACGGCTTAGCCGATCTTCGCACAAAACTGACAAGCAAGAGTCCTCATCGAGGTGCATCGAATGGCTTTTAAATTTTTGGAATCGGTCCAGCCGTTTCTGAGAAAACGTCGATTTACGGCAAAAAATCTGTTCACACACACACACATATACTTTTTGATCTCATTCGATTCAGAATGGCTTGAAACGTCGAGAAAACATAAAATTATCAAATCTGCTTTTTTTTAGAAAACATAAATTTCTCCTTTGGAAAGTTAAAAAATAAGTTATACGTTATAATCATAAAAAATATTATAACATATATAAATAGTATATAAATTCGAAAACATTTAAATTTTTTTTAAACATATTAAATTAATTGACTCGATAAATATTTTGAGGTAATATTTCTTATAAATATATTATAAACTAATATTTAAATAAGCAATTACGTTTGCGTGTTTCGAATTTTTTGGGACGTGTTGCCCAATCGGATCGGATCGTTTTTTAACTAGCTGTAAGTGGAATTCTGTCTTAAGACAATTAAGGCATCGTGCCTTAAGGCAAATTGCTAGAACTTCCCGTACCAAAAATTATTATTTTTTTAAAAACGATTAACATTTTTGAAAAAAATTTACTTCGAAAAAATAAGATTTTTGACAAACAATTAGACAAAAAATTACTTTTTTTTGAAAAAAAAAATTTTTTAATTTTTTTTTTTTGAAAAAAAAATGTTTTCTTTATTTTGACATATTTTAAAAAATCTAAACCTTTTTTCAAAGCAATCGTACTGCTTTAACTGCATAAAGACGAAATATCAAACCGCGTAAGCGCCGCGTCGACATTGGTACGGAACCCATAGGAATGTAAACCAAAATTATACTTATTGTTAAAATCTCTATAAAATATCTGATAACTTGATGTGCATATGTCTAATGATCATTTTTGACCGCCAAATGGCATTTTTTTTGCTTTTTTCATTAGATCTCCGAAACCGCTAGACCTGCCTTTATGAAAATTTGATCGGTTCTTCACCTTGTCAATACAAGTAAAATGTTTTTTGAATTATTAAAATCGGACGCTCCGTTCTCCTAAAAACTGAGTTACCGTTTTCGGCACTTTTTGCCCCGTATCTTCGGAACGGCTAGACCTGACTTCGCCAAAAACTAATCAGCACGTCTCCTTATCAATACGAATCGAATGTTTTTTGAATTATTCAAATCGGTTGATCGGTGTTCCCGAAATCGTCGACGAAAATTTGTATCCGCACATACATAAACACACGTACATACATACATACATACACACACACACACATACATCCATTTTTTCTAAGGTATGCCAAAATGTTCAGAAACCTTTGAAACGTAAAGATATATTAAAATGTTCATTTTCGATTTTCTTGCGATTACTATAACTTGCCCTACGGGAAGTTAACAAGAATCATGTGTGATAGCGCCCAAGCCTTTTCGGCCCGTTCTTGCCGTTCTGGGTGTTCTGTTCTGTGTAGTGTGTAGTCTGTAGTGTGTAGTGTGTGTACTGTGTGTACGTAAATGACAGCTAACGGAGCTTAGATTAGTCAGATCCACCGATGACGTTTCTCAACCCATCTGCCAAATATTCTTAACATTTTCTGTTAAAATGTATGAATGTTGACATGTACATTGCCGTTATTTGGTGTTTATACTGTAATTATTAAATTAACTTATGTATATTCCAGGAAGATTCGAAAAATCCTTAATTATTAATTAAACTCGAACATGGAACCAAGTGATAGGAATGGTAGTCGTAGAAATGATGTCGATTGGTCGAGATTTGGATTAGGAAATGAAGAAGCGGCTTCATATAATAGAGCGAGGCCCCGTGGAAATTCAGGAGGATTTGTTGATTTAGGAAATGAGTATCAATACGGAGCTGGGGGGCATCAGGCTTCGGGAGCTAATGAATTATTCGCTGAAGAACAAGGAGATGTGCCCTGGTGGAAATCTAATTTTTTTATATCACAACCAGTTCTGTTTGGAACATGGGACGGAGTTTTCACATCTTGCTTGATAAACATTTTCGGTGTCATTGTCTTCTTACGATCAGGATGGATAGTTGCACAAGCAGGGATTTTAAATGCAGTAGCGATTGTTATAGCGACAGGTGAAATGAAATTGTTAATTGTATCATAGAATAAAAATTGTGCTGTGATATGTTGATAAATTGACACTATGTAAATATTTAAATTATATATAGATGATTTTTGAAAAGTGTTCTGTGAAAATATATCAATACATGACACATAATGGACCATAAAATAAATAAAAAATGCATCTCAATTTAACTCAATTAATTATTTTTAGTGAGCGTAGCTCTAATATCAGTGCTGTCAGCAGTAGGAATTTGTGAAAGATGTAGGGTTGAAAGTGGGGGTGTATATTTTCTTATAGCCCATACCTTAGGCTCCAGATTTGGAGGCTCGCTGGGTCTTCTGTATTGTTTCGGACAAGCTGTGGGCTGTGCATTAAATGTTTTAGGTAAGAATAATCTGTTATCTTCAAAATGTTATGTATATCGACATTCAAGACCTTACGAGACCTTTCATAAGCAGTTGGAATATTGCTTCTAAAATATTTCATTTATCATGTATTTATTTATGCAGGTTTTGGAGAATCAATAGCTGGCCTTGTTGGTTATGAAGGAAATACATGGGCTATACGAGGTTTTGCTATAGCAGCTGTATTATTGCTCAGTGTGATAAATGTAGCTGGTGTTAAATGGGTTGTAAAATTACAATTTGCACTTTTAATAATACTCTTATTAGCTGGACTAGACTTTATGGTTGGCTGCTTTGTTCATGAAGACCCAGGTTAAAAAATACTTTATTTTTCTTAAATGAAATTTAATTAAAATTATGATGTGATAAAATTACCCATTACTATGGTTAAAAGCAGGTAATAGAAGTATTTAAAAAATTATTGTTTATTCATATGCACCATGTATATGTATATACAGGTATATAATATGATTACAATTTGGAAAAATGAATAAGAAGGTGTTTTTCTGTATCTTTGAATATCTTTTTAGAAAACGGTTTTGATGGCTGGCTCACAGGAAACTTAGCAAATAATACATGGTCTGATTACAAGGATGGCTATACATGGTTCACTGTGTTTGGAGTGTTTTTTCCAACTGTTACAGGAATATTATCAGGAATAAATATGAGTGGAGATTTAAGAGCACCTTCTACTGATATTCCAAATGGAACATTGGCTGCTTTTAGCACTGGGTATAATATTACAAAACTTGTTTTTTTGTTATTTAAAGTAATAAATCTTATTCCTTATTTCTCTTATTATATTTGCTATGCATTTATGCTTATTATATATTTAATATAGTATTATTATATTTTCTAGAACCTTTTTGTATTTGGTTTTCATTCTATTTCTTGGAGCAACATGTCAGCGGAAAACCTTGTTAACTGATTTTATGATAACTGCAAGAGTTTCAGCGTTATCCGTACTTCTATTAGGGGGAATTTATGTATCTTCCATGTCTAGTTGCTTAGGAGCAATGTATGGGACACCAAGGGTTTTGCAATCTATCGCAAATGAAAATGTAATCCCCGGTATTGGAAAACTGGGAAAAGGAGTAAGTCCATGTTCTAATTGTCAAAAATGAATTTGAAAAAAATAAATTTATATTTTAGTATCAATTTTTATTTTTAACTGCTCAAATTGTAACATCTTTATTATTTTTCAGAGAGGACCTAATAAGGTTCCCTTATATGCAATGGCTGTTGTTGCTGCTGTAACAATAACTTTCATATTTGTGGGGCAAATTAATACACTAGCTCCTATAGTAACAATGCCATTTTTGTTAACTTATGCTTGTATTGACTATTCGTATTTTGCTCTTGCTCAAACCTTTGATATACAACATAAGAGAGAGGAGCGATTCAGAATACAAAGATCACAAAATCTTCATAGTCCAACTCGCGGAGACTTGAACAGGAGTTATGGAACTGGAAGCAATGAACAAAATGATTTAGATGTGTTGTTTCCAGAAAGGACAAGGCATAAGAATTTAAATGTAAATAAACAAAATTCTATCATTATTATCAAATATTTATTTTAATCAATTTTCTATAGGCTCAAGAAAATGGCAATATACATCTACCAGTTCAATCAACAGATCCAAATTTACAAAATGCATCTGGCGATGGCGGTACTGGAGATGTGCAACCGATTGTTCGAGGGCCTAATATACATTCCAAAACTAAAAATTGGTATTCAAGTCTATGTAACCGATACGCATCTCTTTTGGGAGTAAGTTATTAGATTAATCAATGCATAAGTGCATTTTTAAAACAAATTGTAAATTTGCTGAACAGTACTACTCACTGAACCAGAGATAGTTATTGTTTAGTTAAAAAAATTTATTTAAATTCTTGAATATTTTTTATATCATTAACATTTTCCACAGTGGAGTAATTTTTCAGTTACTTTATGCAATTTAATTATTTGCACTTGATGTTTTTTTTATAGTAAATAATGACATTCAAAGATGTTAAACTAACTTTATATTTTAGGCATTCATTAAGCTTGCAATAATGCTCATGGTGCATTGGCTCTATGCAATTTTTTGCATCATAACTGTATTTTTAGTTTGGTTTTATGTGGGCACAGCCAACCCCGCAGTAAAACCGGGATTGACAGCAGAATTTAAATTTTTTGTTTGGTTGAAGCATTTACTGTTGCAGTGTATAGGGTAAGAATAAATAAATAAAATATATATATATATATATATATATATATATAAACAGTTGCAATTTTACGAAATTGGTAAACAAAAAAATATTAGGGAAGAAAGTTAAAATTTGATAGAGAACATTATAAAAATTTTAAGATCCTTCTAGACTAGACTAGTGCAAATAGACAAATTCTGATTAAAAATTGATTATTTAATTTTACATTATTAACATATGAAATAATGAACAATGAAAATTTTAAAATCCAGCAAACGAAATCAAGAATATGAACAAATAGTAGTAGCACCAGTTCACCCTGGTTTAGATGTACAGGAAGCACAACTAAATGAAGATAATGAGGATTTCGCATCAAGGCGTCGATACCATCAATCAGCTACTGTGCATGGACATTACGTAAACATTGACGGATAGTTGTTTTAATTAATGATCACCTAATACATATTTGACCAGTATTGCAAATTTTTGAGTCACAAAGCTATTGATTTAGATTTTTATATATCCTTATAAAAGCTATTTCTATGGTATAATTTATTTAATTTAACAAAAATTTGCAATATTAGCTTGTATTTTAAAAAGCTGATTAAAATTTATTGTGAAGTATCTAATTTATTAAAAAAAAAAAAAATCTAATATAATGAATAATATAGAAATGAATGAAAACCGACTCGAGTGCAGTCAACATTACTGATAATGTGATTTGATGCATTTTGCTTTATTAAAGGCTAAATATAGTTCAAAATGGACCAGTGTATTAATTTAATATTTATCACTTATTTAATTCAAATAATTAATCACTACAGTTTGTAATTATAAATTAATGTAATTATTACTACACATAAAATGATGTACAAAGTTTAGATAGATTATAGATGTAAATGTGCCTTGTGCTTACTAAAAATTCTTGGCATAAATCCCATTTTAAATAATGTAATAAGTTATTCCCATCACACAATTTTTTTATCACTAATCTTCATAACTCAAGAAGATTAATTACTTGTAAATATTTTCAATGGATAAAATGATTTTACTGAAATCATAAACAGCAGTAATTAAAATCATGATTTTTATGAAAAATTAGCTTGAAATAATATATTGTAAAAGATATGTAATGTTTTTAATTCCGAAGAACATTAAATTTGTACAGCATACTTATAGAGATTTATTATTTAAAACTGCCAAGCATGTATGTGAATAAAATTATAAACCATGAACAAAAATGTATATGTAAACAAGTATACAAAATATTTTAATCAATAACAAAAGTTTATGATGTACGTGTTAAAATGTTTCACACAATTTGTAACCATTTGTAGGCCATAGTAAAAGTTAAGAGCAAAAGGTATAACAAACATAAAATTGTTGAATATCTTTATAACAAGTCGTTATGGAAAACTAATATAAATGTTTGCATGCACGTGATACAAATAAGTTGACATTTACCATTGTGATATATTTGTATTATTCGTTAGGATAATATTACATGTACCGTTTTTATAAATAATGATTAAAAGAAGTTCATTAATATAATTCTTGTTCAAATTTTTTATGTCACACAGGTTTATGTTGATGATCGAATTGAAATTATCATCTGTCTTTTTCATGCCCCATTAGAAGTACCATTTTAAAATCTAAACTTTTTTATAGAATATTGAGCAAAATGAATTCTAATAATAGTTAACAAAACATACCTTGTGGTTTGATAACCATGAATATTTCCAGCAGAATCACACTTGCAGCTTTAAAAAACCAATCAATTTATTCAAATCCACACACTATCCACCAAACTCACAATTCACCTCGCATTCCATAATTACACTACACATTATATTTACTTTAATGTATTATTGTCTTGATTTACTTGTACATTTACTTGTTGAAGAGATAGGTTAGACAGTAACGGTTACAACGCACTTCAAAATTTCGTTTTATTACTAACCTGAAGTAACTCACTTAGAAAGTTAGATTTTATTTACTCACTTAGAAAGTTTAGATTAGATTTATAAAATAAAATTATCGAATCAAAAAGTCGAAATAATAGAATATAAGTATAAGAACTACTAAATATAAATGTTGGGGCTGCGGTATTAACAACCGCAGTCATTTTCTTAACTTCCTTATTGTTCGGCGAAAGGAAATTTGAAACAGCGCGGTTAATCACAAAATTTTATACAAAAATTGAATCTTTGCAAACATTTTATAATAATAGCTATGGTGACATATTTTGCCTCTAATATTTAAGGGGGCGTCCATTAATCACGTGATCGATTTTTTTAGAGATTTTTGTAACTCCCCCCCTCTCCCTTGGTGATACGTCGTGAAATTTAGAATTATTCCCCTCCCCCTCCAAACATCACGTGTATTTTTAGTTACGTAAAATTTTCCGAATAAATTTTTCGAATTTACGAAAAAAACGTAAAGTTTTTGTTTTTTTTTTTGAAAATTTAGGTAAAAAATAAATACATGTGATATCTACCCCTCCCACTAAAGCCTCACGTGATTAATGAACGCCCCCTAATAAAGCCGACGTGATCCATTTAAGCTGCTAATACTTTAATAAACAAAATGTGTAAGAAAAATATCTTTATTTCATTCTGATTTTCTAATTTTACAATTGTTCACTTATGCTATGAAGTTAAATATAGATAAATTTCAAATTTACACAATTCCTAGCTTAGTTACATATTACAGATAGTTTTTCAACAAAAGTTAATTGAATAATATATCTTACAGAAGCATTTCATAAATTAGTGTGCATCAACAGTGATATTCTCATACATTGAAAACATTAACATGACATATTTATTTAGATAGAATTTCTTTATTACCAAATTCAATTTTATAACAATTTTGGCTAAACAAAAATTGCATTAATTTTTTTTATACAATTTGAAAACATGTCATGGTTATTAAAAACCCCACAATTTTATATACAAAACTTTATGTAGCAGTATAATAAATTGTTTTTACAAATATTTAAATACATATTTATACAAAAAGATAATCACGTTACAAAATTTATACACTATCAATATCATTAAAATAATTACACAATCCTAAAATTATCTATGGTGGAATCTGTAAAAAGATCAAATAAAATATGAATGACATTTTCTAATGGGCCCCTCACAGATAAAGTAATATTTTCAGGATACTCTAAATTGGTTTAACAAACAGTATAAAATTAACAATGTTAAATGAAATTTATTCTCAGATGCAAGTGTGACGAAAATTTTTCTATGAATAGGATATGATTTTAGTCTAAAAATAAATTTATTATTGGCTGCCGGATGGAAACACAAGATCTTCGGTGTGATTTATTGATCCATAGATCGGCCGACTTGAGGATTCACTTTGCAATGAGGATACTGATGTTATTCTAGACCGTTTACGTCTTCTTATCACGCCTGTAAAAGATAGATGAAAAATACACAATGAAAATTATGGCTTCAATAATTTAATTTTAACTTTAACTTTACCAACAAAATAAAGCAGCACATAAACCTTCATGATTTTTTACAGAACTACTACAATTAAATGCATGATAGGAACAGTTTAAATATCAAAATAAAAATATATTGATTACTTTTTATGTTGTTTTCTTAAAATTTATAAAGAAGTGAAGTGGTAATAACTGCTTCTACAATTTGCCTTTTTTTAATGTAAGTATCATTATCGCCACACCGTCAGCAAAAATATAACAAACTCTACTATTAATTAATTACTATTACCACTATTAAGTAGAATTTAGTGCAAAGTGCATGAAAAAAGTAGCATTGAAGATAAATGATAGATTTATCTTCTATACTGATCCTATCATTACTATTGTTAAAAGCTCAGTTGTTAACTGCTAATAAATATATGGGTTAAAATCCTAAATTATTATCACAATAAATCACATATAAGCGATTTGTAATATTAAGGGACAATCTTTTAAAGTAAAGTAATACATGAAAATATACTTCCATAAATTGTTGAAATGGCAACAGCATGGCAATGAAATAATTTTTATTCTTTACTATATTTTACCATTAAATTAAAACTATGCATATAATATTTCAAATAATACATGTATAATGTAAAATAATTAGTATTTTTCTACATACAGACCCTTTGAGATACTTATACTATATATGTATATATATACAGAGCAAATAGCCAAAATAAAATATATATTTGCAGTAAACCTAAATTTAAATAATAACTAGAATAGCTGCTCACATAAAATTAAATAACTATATAGATTTATCAAGTTTGAAAATATGTTTGATTTGAATAAGGAATTATTACAAATAATTTTTTTTTAATTCAAAATTATAAACAAATTAGAAAAGGGATCATATATAGCATTCTATCGTCAAGTGAAGTCAACATAATTCTTTGTTATTTCTTGATTTCATTGGTTTAACAAATAATTTGTGTTAGAAAAATCAATGTTTGTCATGATGTTGAAAACCGAATAAATGTAGTTATTCTATAAAAGACTGAAGTAGTAACCTAATAAAGTAATTATTCTATGAAAGACTATAGTAGTTACCATACAGCAAATATGGTGAGGGTGAATAATAGAGTATAGATGAATATCCAAAATTAATTTTGTAATCACAATGACGAGCTAGAATTGCGTGAATATGTGAGCACCTAAATTATGCAACTATAAAGCTACAAACATGCAATTCCTACCTACGTCGATATAGTCGTGCAGTAAATTCCATTATTAGTATTAATTAAAGACATGCTTTCCATACGCACTCTAGGCTGATACGTTTTTTTTGAGTAAAAATGTGGTGTGATATTTTTTAACCTAAATGATTGAGATGACTGATGCGACATTGAGAATTTAGACTGTGGGCTTACTCGATTCAAACATGTCTCCTGGACTTGCATTGAATTCATCATTTCGGCTCTTCTGTGATTCGCCAATTTTTCTTTGTTCATTGGGGATCCTGTAGTATGATAGGTAACAAAATGGTTCTTATTTCAAACAGACTTTTGCCAAAAACTTAAGGTATATAATTATTTAAACTAATAGTGGAAGTAAAATTCATCAAAGCTCTATTATGGTTATTCCATTGTTCATAAAATTAATTTTGAACTGTCAGTAATTGATTACATAAGTTCATAAATTAATAACTATTAGCCAAGAGGCAAAAAAATTTCATATGATTGGCATGTGCAAAATTTATTCGAATCACTAATAATATCCTGCAGAACTATAACCTTTGTTCAATAATTTGACTTCCATCTTTGAAATATATATAGTGTAGAACAGTTTAAAAGATTATCCCAATGAAGGCAAATATTTAATAATGCAGCATGCGTTAGTTAGTAATCAAACATATTTTTAGTGTTTGACATAATGTCATTTTAGTTTCTAATATGAAAGTTTCCAATACAATTAAAATAACAATTAATAAAATAACAAGCCATCACTTTCTGAGAAATACGTATTGAAAAATTTGAATTATTAATAATGATTAAAGCTCAAAACAAATTTTGTTTCAAAAAGTAAACTAAAATCACATTTATGAATATTTATGGACATTTATATAACAATAATAAAATCAAATTAGATTAAATAAGTTAATTAATGATGCATATATTATTCATTATTTACTCACCTATATAACTAAGCAATACTGGTAAAAATATCAGTCCATGGGCCGCACCAAATAGTACAATACCTAAGTACATTCTAAAGTAGAAAACTTGGAATATTTGGCTCTTTGCAAAACCAAGTACAATGATTCCACCAAATTTAGTTAATGTAATTCCTGAAAAGACTGAGCTTCCCATTTTAGTTAATGCATCAGCAGCACGTTCACTTCTTGTGGCTTGTATTGAAACTGAGAAACTATGAACTAAATGTGAACAGAATTCAACTGATATTCCGACAGCCATGACTAAATTAACTAGTGATACAGCATTCAATGTTATATGCCACCAGTACATAAGACCTCCAATGTTAACAACAATCATTGTAATGGATATCACAACCACTAACGAAGAGAAAATATCAAAACCCATCAATAAGAATGTAACAACAAATATAGCCAATACTGATATTCCCATAGACTTCAGTGTGTCAGGCCACATTGTTAAGTATTGCTCAAAGAAAACATAGAATATCGAGTAAGGAAAGACTTCCACAGTCTCATTTCTGCCTTGAGCTTTCAAATTCCATTGTATCATATCCGTAAGATTTTGAGAAATTTTTCTAGCAGATCTCATGGATTCATAATAATCTTTGGATGTTTTCAAAATTGTGTGGTAGGTCATAAAGTAAGAAGAATCCACTTGCGTGAGACTTGACTGTTTTGATAGAAAATGATATTTAACACCTTGTCCATAAGCTGCATGACCAGCTTTTGCACAATCCTCATCTGGATTATCTTGCAAAAAGTAAGGTAAATAAGTTGAAAAATCAGAAGGTATTGGTCGCTTCGTTTTTGTATCAAAAGATATTGTGCAACTGTCACAATCATCTTCATCTAAAAAAAAACATAATAAAATTAAAAATAATAATACATACATACATACACATATATAAATACATAAATAAAGATACATACATATATATTTTTTCATTTGATTATCTCTGAATATGTTTAATAACATATATATATATATATATATATATATATATATGCAGTACAAGTTTCTTATTCACGAAAAAATTGAATTTGCAAATATCAATATTTATAGAAACCAATATTCTTTATGAATGCAGTATTTTGAACTAATTAAAAAAAAACTTTGCCATAGACTGCCTTCATTGCCTGGGCCTTCTTCGCCGCTATCGGTGTTTTTGGGGATATAAACAAACAGATTGAAAACAACCGTATTTATTACTCAATGAATTAAATATATTTTTAAATGTTGCTGTTGCGTTCTATAGTAAAATTTGACTCAAATTGACATGAAACAAAACTTACCAAGTCCATTAAAAAATAGCAATTTAATTGCTTCAATAAGTAATAAAAACATGACATTTAATTTGAAAAATCTTAGTGAAGATTTAAAAATGGCATATGATCTGTGTAATTTATATATGAATATTGATCCGTCTTTGAAACTAAGCGGAAATTTCTGATGCAACTGCTAAAGAAGCTGTTAAAAACTGCCGAGCAAGAGCTCTTCAAATAATTGATATAGTAATGTATCTCCTAAATCCAAAATAATAATAAATAAATTCGCGGCATTTTTATGGAATGAATCCTCGCTAAGTAACTGTTTACTTACTTTGATGTGGACAGAAACTCGAATTCCCAGGATACTGTTTGCAGCAACTAGGTGTTGCTGCCCAATCGAAGTAGTCATCAATCCAACTGCTACTTGGTCTTGCAATATAACTCGTTTCTGGTATTTTGCTTGCCATGTAAATTTGAGTCATTACACTATCTAAATTACAAAATTGTCCGCCGCATACTAAATTTTGTGATGATATATCAGAATAATTAAGTCCGCTTTTTATTACGAAGTACATTGGCGGACCAATACTTAAGAAGTCTTTCAAATACTGGAAGTATTTCAACACAAAACTATCCTCGGGCATTGACAGTTCCTGATCTAGACCGATTTCTATGTGCGGTGCTACAGCTATACTCGAACATAGCCATCCGAAAAATATAACCATTACGCTAGCGCGCACGTTCGGGTTCATTAGGAATGGAACATATATGGATTTAAAGAAATTGTATAGTACGCCTTCTGCGTAAGGTTCGGAATCCTTTTTAGAACCTCGTATACAACATATTATATCATATCTGTTTCCATGCTGCCTCAAAGTATCTAATGTGAGTAGACTCACAAAACAGGTGATCTGCAGCAGAAAATCAATGAGCAAAGCCATACCGGCGTATAAGGCAAACGCTCGAACTGCCGGCATATCTGAGAGTCCGCCTAAAAAGAAGCAACAGCTTTCACTAACAGATGTCAAGAGCATGCTAGGACCAACGTGACCTAAAATTCTTCCAATGTGTTCCTGTATTGTTTCATTTTGCTTCCTAACTTCTCGTTGGTGTGTTTGAACCAAAATAAAAATGTTATCTACGCCGACAGCGAGCACCAAGAATGGAATAACTTCGATGATAATTAATGTAGCAGGTGTTCCAATAAATCCAAATAATCCTACTGAACATACTACAGAAGCCAAAACAATAAACACGCCTCCAAGACCTAGTGTGATTTTACTGTCTATCAGCAGTCTACTGCAAGTTCGTATTTGTCCTAATGAAATAGCAATATAAGCAAACATAATTATATACGAAACTAATATTGTCAATACATCTGATTGAGATTCTCTATATAACTCATCCTCAATTGATCTTTCAGATGTAAATGCTATGTCCATAAAATCTGGCTTCTGTGTACTAGTCCAGTTTTTCATAAAATCAATATATTCTTTTTCCCATTTCATAGCAGGCAAAAGTTTTGTTTTGTTGTGATAATTGTTAACAATAAAAGTCAAAATAACAGCAGATGCATTTTGATAGTTTGGTGATGAAGTTAAGTATTCGCCCGGCTTTAAAAATCCACCCATAGCAATTGCTGGATCTACGGGACCACCGTATGGTGCCAAACACTCTGGATTATAGAAATTTCTGAAAAAAGTAAGAAACTGCAATCAATATTTCATAATTAGAAACAAAATGTTCGATTTGAATATAAGATTAGAAACAAAATAAAAAAAAAAATAGTAAAACTTACAGCAATAATTTGGACACTTACTGTGAACATGCTTTGAAGCGATCAAGATAATTAATCTCGTAACCAAAATCATCTTCACTAGTTTCATTGAATTTATCGATGTCATCTTGATAGTAACCCCATATAGACTGAACTACACATTCACTTACACCTACTGGTCCACGAAATTCAGAAGATAGAGGCGCATAACAAATATTCTTTAAGTCGCCTTTACTCAAAGCTAGAAACAGAAATTATAAAATGTATTTGCAAATTTCAACTTTATTATTCATTCAACTTTATATATAATTAAACCTAAGTTTATACATTTAAATTTTCAATAGTTAATCATTTACTCACATTTAATTCCTTCCTGTAATTCAAAAACTTTCATTAAAAATTTCCGATGGAAAACAGGACCGAATTCTAAGACTCCGTCGCTGGTATTGTGATAAACGTGGGGCAAGTTGACCGCTTTAATAATTACTTGCTCTGTTCTGTAGAATGGCTCAAAATGTGAGTCGAAGTATTCTCGTTCCACACGCGCCCTTGAATCGGGCGAAGCCCATAATTCAACAGGGTCAGTTGTTACTTTCATGTACTTGATGCCATGACCGAAAGCGACGACAAAACACAAACCTGTAAAATGAAAAATGTTTGATAACGTACAACATTGTGTATTGAGGAAAATTGCTAACAACTCGAGATTTTGTCATGAATTATTTCCAACACCGTGGACCAAATTAATACGGGAGAAAGTTTTTATAATTTTGATTTTATCAAGTTAATTTATTTTGTTCTACGCTGCGCTTTAGAAAGTCGCACAATGTGTTGGGCTGCATGTGTTGGGTGGGATAAACACCAATTGAAATGTTGGCAAACTAATGACCAAGTTTATATAATTCAGAAAGATATTCGATATTTATCTTAACTATACATTTATTAACTATATATAACTAAATTTTATTACAAACAGCGAAAATCTACCTGACGAAATTGCAAATCTATATGTAATATAAAAAAACGTACCTAAAAATAGGACTACCCACGGATAAGTAGCACACAAAGTTCCCCATTTAGTAAATACTATTTGCAAAAACGTTTCAGTATTTGCGCCAAGTTTTTCTAATGTTGTTGATTGTACATGAACTCCATCAATATCATCTCCATTAACACCTGGGTGTGAAGATAATTCCTGATCTCCCTCCGTTATACCTGTGAGAAATATATATGTATTAACAAATAGATTATATAACAAAATTGAAAATATTTGAAAATATTAAAAATGTATAAAACGTTTTAAGTACGAAATATATAAATAATACATACACAGATAGAAATGTTAGATTAGATGTAGAGTTAAATCCTTACAATATATATATATATATATATATATATATATATATATATATATATATATATATATATATATATATATATATATATATATATTTCTCATAACATAGAACTCTGAACAATCAAAACGTACACAAGCAATGTGTTAATTAGTATAAAAATAAATACTGAATTAGTAATCTGTACACAAATATCACACCAAAAATTAGTATATTTTTAGAAAGTTAGCACATATTAAATAAAAAATACTGTGGACATATGTTTATATGAAACACAAACAACCCTCTTTTGATATTGAATTATTTGAAATATATTAAATGCAAATCTTATCAATATGTCTTTTTTTCACAGTTATAAAATATATAACCAAGCAAATCTTGCAAATAGTTCCCAGTTTTAATTTTTATGAAAATCATGCACATAATTTGGACAATAAGTATATATATTCAAATACCACATTTTTCAAAAATTGTATTCCTCAAGCAGATAAAATAAACAATCACTGTTAGAAATTCAAGAGTTGTAATAAAGTTGCAGAAAAAAGTTGAACCTAATTCTAATTAATTTATATATAAAGAAGTTATTAATTTGCATAATAATAGTCAGCTAAATGTGATCGACTTAATATAAATGAGCTTGTTGATCAAGTAGGATTGTAAATGCTAGAGTAAAATCTCTCAAATATCAAGAAGTAGTATAAAATTGTATTCAATTAGCTTTGGCTATTAATTAAAATTTTTCGACTATGTTTTAGAACAATTTTGAACATGTTTTATTCATAAAGTGAATAAATTGTACGTGTGTGTGTATGTAAATATATATATATATATATATATATATATATATATATATATACACATATAACATAGGAGAGTATCAGAGTTTCCGGCTAACAAATATCAATCATTTATCATACAGGACTATATAACGCAGCGGCGTTGAGCTCGAACAGCGAAGGAGCTGTTTCAGCTGTGGTATTACACCGACGGCGTGACGTCTTACTCTGGGAACTATACAATTTTTTTTCTCTGATACGTACTGGATCTTTTCGACTGTAGTGGGCTGTCCTCTTGGTCGCCTGATCCGCTGCCCATATGAGTGTGCAGTCCGCCTCCACTGGCGGACGCAAGGCGTCGTCCGACACTGCGTCGAATTTGTTCGGGACCTGAATGCCCTCGCACCAAACCCTCTGTGGGAGAGACAGGAATGTCCCCGCAAAAAGAATAGAAAACAAACACCTTAAACACCGTACACCCGATAACCAATGACAGAAGACAGCCTAAAACACCTAAGCTTCATTCCAAAACTATCGTGTTTCGATGAAATAAAGATTTTCATTTTTGATCGGACATATTCTCTAAAGAAAATATAAATGTTGCACAGAAAATGTTCTATGTATCAACAAATGATGAATATTAGACTATATTCAAGGAAACATACCGGTATCGTTTTCCTTTAAATCTCACGTGAAAAAGCACTAAAATTACAGTCAAAAAAGAGAAACAAGAAACACACCTGAAACATTCAACACATAGTACAGTGTTTTAATAATATTATCCGTATTTAGATGTACTGAACACAGGATCATAGAATAGAACAGACGACTTTAATTAAATATTACACATTTTTTAAGTTATGCAGTTATTGCAAAAAACTGCATAAAATAAGTGACAATTAATGAGGATTATATTTTACATCTGAACTTTACACCTCAATTACTCAATGTCTTTATAAGACAGCTTGTAATTTATATTGTAAATGAAAAATAAAATTACATCTGCTTTTCATCGTCAATCTGTTTTATAAATACACAAAATTTCACGAAATTTGTGAAACCATTTAGTGTGTTCAAGCAATATTAGAAAACATTAATAATATATTTGAACTTAACACCATCGCATAAAAATATTTGGTACATACATAATCTGTGCAAAACATAATACGCGGCGACATATTCTTAAACATTTTGTCATCATTATGTATTGTAATAAAATATGGAGAACCAAACCTTAAGATTGCACAAAAAAGGTTCGCTTCATTAATATCATTTACCTTAAAAAATAAATAAATAACGAAAATGAAGTACGAAATGTATAAATTCGTATGAAGACAAAATGAATGTAAAATATTGTAATAAATCAAATTTCATTGAAACACGTCAATCTTTTCAGCTAAAATGTTTATAATAGGCTTTCTTCTTTAAAATAATACTTATAAATATGTATATATACTAGGGATAGTCAAGATCGCTATTAGTAATATTATATCAGTTCTCAGTAAATTGAAAAGGTCAAATTAACGACGAAATACGAACATCTAAAAATCGATCAATATGTTTAACATTTCACTAGAAATTTCTATAAAGGTTAAAAACAACGTTAAAAAAATAAACTAAATAACGCAAATAGAAAAACCCGATAAATACTCGAAAAAATACTTTTTCTGAAAAAAAAAACTTGCAAAGTACATTTTATTATACGATAGGTGACTCGCAAATTTTACTCCTTCAATTAAAAATATAGTAATATTTAGCACCTTATAAACAATCAACATTAAATGTTTATAGTATTTAACTGTAAAATTTCTCACCGTCATCATATCACATCAAATAATCAAGTACAAAATTACGATGACGTAAGATCATTAAAAAAATAATTTAAAAACATGATGCTAAAAAAGTGTTTTAGATTATTAAATTAAATATATATTTTCCTCGTATATAAATTCATGCACATGGCCATATATACATGCAATGTTAAAATATTAGTATTTTAAAAAGCTCTTTTTGCAAATAGAACACACCTTTCTTCACAATTTAAAATTTGTACGACGCAGCATAATAAATTGAATAAAGTAAAACAAACATAAAAACTGTGCAAAAAAATATTCACGCAACTCACAAAATAATAAAGTGCTATTAATGTCATACTAACTAAAAAGGCACCAAAAAAAACTTGTTTATGGAACCAAGCTAGCGAAAATATGACACTAAGTTGAATAATTATTAATGATTAAATAATTATAATTTTGCGTTGGTTTTATACAAATATCAACAATTTGGTTACATTTTCATACTATTTTAATTAAATATCAACATTAAAAATTTGAACATTTTTTAAAATGATGCATATAAACATAAAAAAATAACTTTAATATAGAAAAAAGAAAAAATTCCTCAAAGTGTGCACTTTCTGCAGTTCAATGAAAAAAAAAACTACATTGACTTAGTTTTTAAAACTTACCGAAATCTTTTCTGGCTGGGCAACAGTAGATACCAAGTAAAAATAGAGCAGATCCAACCAAGAAAACAATCAGCATTATCAAAGCATATCCATCCATTCCGGCAAACTGATATGGCACTGGAGGGGCAGGTTGTGGAGGAGGTTTGGGGCACGTTGCTTCGCAATCAACACAAGAACAAGCTGGTGTTTTTGCCTAAATGAGGTTACATAAATATTCATAAAATGCTATTTAAAACATATCTCTAAGCTGCTATTGTAAACCATTTTTTAATTTAAATATTCATTTATATTTTTAATGGATAACTCACATCTATGCTCTCATTGCAAGGCACAACTTTTGGATCCAAAGGTGAAAATCCGTTTTTCGGTTGTTCAGTAGCAATGTAGTTGATTCCAAATGGAACATATGGATTGCCCTCTTGAGTTCCCATATAATGGAACCATTTGGCAGCAGTACAACGACTAGCACCCCACGTACCGCACATCAAATCTAGTGCGAGCTGACCAGTCGAAGGCACTGATACCTGTGATATAATCATTAGTCAAGATTTCCAAAATTAAACTAGTTTCACAAAAAAAGATTATTGAAAACTAGTGTATTGTTTATCATTACCTGTTTGCATGAATTGAAAGTGCCAGTCAAATAACTCTCCTTGATATATAGGTCGACAGAAGTAATGTATTCTTTATCTGTAAAATACGAACAATTTTATAATGTTTGTAATAATGCTTTTCAAATTATAATAACATGTAAAAATGTATATAATAAATAATATTAGAACATATATTCCAAATTATTATTCAAAGATTTGGTAAATATTTGGCTACAATAAAGTTAAATCTTTTTAAAGTTAATTAAATTAAATTAAGAATATGCATATAAAATTAACTCAAACTAACCATCTTTCGTCTTCTCAGTTGATGTCACATCCAAAAATTTCGACTGCTCAGGAGCACAAGTAAAATCACATAGATGTCTGACTAAATTTGACATGCAGGATGGACATCTTTTTAAGAAATTGGCAGCCAAATTTATGTTGTTATTAAGCACTCCTATCATGTTGGCGTCGCAACATGTCAGTACCCCTTGACCGTTGTCTTGCAGAAGGTGCCCGCACCATTTCTGCAGAAGTTCCTGGAAGCAATTAAAATGTAATATATAGCAAAAAAAAAATATATTGAAATAAAAAATTAACGTAAGGATGGTAATTAAATTCTCACCAAAATTATCATCTCAGAATTAGCGATAAAATAAGGTTCAAAATCATATCAAATTATATTATCTTACTTGTCCTTTGTTGTCTAAGGCTTTAGCGGTACCGTTATACGGACAATACTGGACCCCATGCATGTCCCTATTACACTGGCCATACCACACGCAATGGCCTTCTTCTCCTTTGGCTGGTATCTGTAAGAAATGAAACAACATAATGGAATTATAAATTTTATAAATTATTATAAAATTAATATAATTATCACTATGTATAAAACATTTGTAAAAAATATTTTTTTGAAAAACGAAATATTCTATAAAATTCAGTTATCTTTGCAATTTATCTTTCTCAATAAATTAAAATTGTATTTAGGAGTTGAATACATGTAATACCCAAAAATTAAATTATAATTTAATTCAGATAATGATTTATTGTTTAAGGTATATAAAAAAATGAAGTTATGTCTAAATATATTTTTATATAATTTCTAAAAAAAAATAAGAAAAAAAAAACAAAGTACAAACAAATTAAATATTTATGCAGAATGCCATATGCATACATAATTTTCTTTATTGGAACTTTATTTCTCACATAGTTTATCAATTATTGTTGTCCAAAATGTACATTTGTCGCTAATATATTTGTTGTTTCGTACTTTCACAAAATTTTATTTGACGAGTTTTTCATCCACACAAAGCTTATGGACAGTGCTGATAAAAACTTCTTGAGATTTTGAATATGCACCGCCGAGTTAAAAATTTAACCGAAACAAAAATTCGTGGCTAAAAATGCTTTTACTCGTCGTTTCTCCATACACAATTTGCGTATTTATCCCGCTTGGTTCGAAATAAACCCAAAGAATATATACCCAAAGTTGGCACCTACAAATATTCGAGTTCATGTTACATTTCTTAGCCATCGGTCTGCCACATTTTCACCAAACAACGTTAGTACAAAATGTAATAGTTTTCGGTACACTTTGGCTTCTTTCTCCTATTTCTATTGGATAATGTTTGAAACATGGGACAAGCACTTTTTCTGTTCACATTTGTTCACCGTGAGAGTAATGAAATTTGATTTATACTCATTGCTACAAAATCTGTGAATGAATTTATCAGTTTTAGAACAACGAATTATCAAATTCAAGAATTGAACAATCTCTCGCCATTTCCCAAATAGAAACACCCATTTATTATATTTACTATTGACTTCACAACATCCAGAACATTATTCTAAATGTATCTGTTTTATTTAGTATATTTTGTATAAATCTGCACCTATATTTCGACTCAAACAACTCCCCATTAACATTATTTTCCACCGGCCAAATTAAGTGGGTATTCTAGTGTAGAGCGATGAATTTTAGGTCATTTTTAAAGTGTCGTAAAAGAAAGCAATGAATGTTTTTACTATCCATTTTTTTTTACCACTTGTTAATATTATTAAAATACAATACAAAAACTAAAAAAAAAAAAAATGAAACTGGCAGCTGATGAAGTGGGGGGTCTCTAAAAATTGACACCTCAGTCTTGACATGATTTCAGCCCTCCTAGCTATCCGAAATAAAAGAAATAAAAAAATTATTAATCTACAATGATGTCGCAATCGCCCGAACTAGCAATGAGTAAAAAAATTTTTTTACAAATTGGCGACTGTTTGAAAAAAAGTGTCGCTTTTTACTGTTTTTTTTTTGAGTTTCTCGAATTTTTTAAATATAGTAAAAATTGTAATTTGGGGATGATGCTAGTTCGGGCTACAGATAGGTCTATAAGCAAGACTGTCTGAATCGTGTGAACAGTACTGAAAAAGTCTGTTCTGAGAAAAACGCATTTTAAGTTTTGCGTGGTTTTTTGCTGTCAAAGTCATAAAATGATATGATAACTTATTTTATTTAATCTGCCATTCCTGCTTCATGCATCAGACCTTCTTCTACTTCAAAAAAAACTATATTCTGCATATCTCTCTTCCAATCGAGCAGTTCTAGGTTTATTTGAGCCTCCTTTGAAGCGTTGATTGTACGTATTTCAGATCGTTTAATCCGGGCATTGTCTCGTCTTACAGCATATGAATGAGTTTCTGGTCCAATTTGCATTACCATAAGTGTCAACATTTTTAAAATCGGAAAGAAACCTTCATTGAATATGCAAACAGCAATAAATGTTGCTTTTCAAATACCCGAGATCGGAAATGAATATGTTTCGGCGAGAAAATCCAAATCAACGAGATTAGAGATTCATTATTGTTCTGAGTTGCTGAACCCATACATCGAATTAATAATTCATCTGACGATAAACTGTCTTAAATTGGTCTAATGACTTCCTAATGCCTTTTGTCCAATTAGACGCTTCCAAACCAGTTTGGAGACCGAGTCAGTAAAATGCCTATATCTCCGAAAATAATTCAAATTTTTAAAAACCTTCTCATACCCATATTTTTAGATAGTTAAACTTTAAAAATATGAAATAAAAAAAAAAGAATTTTTTGAATTTCTACACTAGAATACCCCCTTAACAACCGCGGTAGTTAGGACGCATAACATAAAAATATAAAAAATAACTTAAGAGTGAAAAAAATATTATTAGTATATTCTAAAAATTGTCATATAGTTTACACAAAGTTGGAAACGATCAATTTGACCGGTGTTGGAAGGTTTGGTGTTAAACAGATCTATTTTAACCACACAAAAAAGTTTTCCTTTTAAATTTATTCTATATTCTTTTACAAAAAGCAATGAACAGAAACAGTTAACAATATTAAAAGAAAATAGCATTATAATGTGGATCGTGTAAAAAGGTGACAGCCAAAGAGTGATCAATTAATTTATTGTTAAAATGCCTCATTATAAATCTTCGTATGAATCGATAACTTCAATGATGTTGACCAACGTCATATATATTTATAATATTGAATCAGAATATAGGCTAAAAATACTTAAATATAAATTCATGTTCTGCAAAAATCATAAATACACACGCAGATACGACCAACGCATACAGTGATAGATATATTTACATTATAAAATCACTTTACATTAAAAGATTCATTTGTGGGGAATTTGGACACCTTGAACGCATGTATACATTATTTTTTACCATCAATCAAATACGTGCAATGCCAAGAAAGCGGAGGAACTGTGTTCAGTAGTCGCACCAAATTATTCATTGCTTACTTTAGTTTAGAGTTTCATTTTTAACTTTCCATAAGGTAAGTTATAGTAATCGTACAAAAATCGAAAATGATATTATGTGCTCAACTAAGTTTTCGCTGGTATTCGATGAAACTGTAACTTTATTATATAAAAACTCTTACATCTGGTTCATTCTAAGTATTGCCCATCGCTAGACACATCTTATGCCCATCTTTCTAGCAGAGCTCGAATACCTTGGCTCCAAAAGTGTTAGTCTTTTGAGGCTATCCACGAATCAAGTCATTTTGTGATGTGTTGATATGAGTTGAACTGCTGATGAGCCAGACCATGTGCCATCAAACGAAACAAGCAAAAAATGGACAGTGCAATATCTGGGGAATATAGCGGATGGGGTAGGACTTTTCATTTGAGCGTTCCCAAACGTGAGGCCGAGCGTTGTCACGCAGTAAAATCACTCTGCTCGTATTGTGGCCGGTTTTCGCGCAGTGCTCGGCTAAATTGCATCAATTGAGTTCGATACAGTTCTCCAGTGATGGTTTCGCTCGGTTTCAACAGCTCATAATAAATAACACCAACCCGGTCCCACCCCATATGCACAGCATAACCTTCGCAGTGAATATTCGGCCGAACCGAGATTTTCTCCTCTTTGGATTGCTGCAATGTATTCATTTTTTAACATCTGTCACGGTGTGATAAAGAACGACTTCTTTTCTCGCCGCTGGGGCAGTTGTTTACTGGCGAAAATACGATGCTCGACGTCTCTTCGCTTCAACTCACAAGAAACCCAAGTTTCTTGCTTCTGATTCATCCCCAACACATGCAATCGCTTGGAAATAGCTTGGTGGGTAACTCCTAATTCTGAAGCAATTTCTTCTTGAGTTTGGCACGAATCCTCTTCGAGCAAGGCCTTCAATTTAGCGTTTTTGAAGGTTTTGGTCTTCCTTTATGAGGGCGGTCGTCAACATCAAAATCACAATCTTTGAAGCATTAATTCTTTAATCTTTAATTTCTGAGCTTTTATAAATTTTAAGAAGATTCCATTCAAATGGAATTGAAAATCCCCGTTTGTAGGGCATAGAATATTTATTCATACAAATAGTTTCAGTAAAAAAAGTAAATCGGATATACTAATAATAATCAATAAATACATAAATGAATTTTGTCCTTTTGTCATTGAATTGTCGTTTAGATGCGGGATAACACAAAACACTAACAGTAAGTGAGTAGCTCTTTGTGCGTATATTAACCATATCAAAGTGAACTCTCGAACTCAAGCGTCTATTCAATTAACCAGGTTTGATTGAACTGATCCTATAAAATATCGGACAATCTCCAATTCCATGGGAAAATGTTATACATATAGCATTACTACCCCAAATATATATATATATATATATATATATATATTATAAAAATGAAAAGAATACTTGGATACAAATCGTCTACCGTTTTTTCAAAAAAAAAAAAAAAAACGGATCAACCCCTTTCAAACAAATACTATGACTAAATGCAGCCCATTGATTTTAGGGAAAAAATAATTACGAATTTATTTATTTGTAAAAATTTTCCGTAGAAAGTTAATTCGAGGAACAAGTTCTCTCTTCACGTTCTCATTTCATTTTCATGCGATTTTACAATGAAATACTCTTAAAATACTTCAAATATTAAAGATAATATTAAAAGTTTATTAATTACAATTATGAAAAACAGAATTAAAATTAAGTTAAAAATTTAGCTAGTTAATTACAATTATGAAAACAGAATTAAAATTAAGTTAAAAATTTAGCTAGTTAGTTTAAAATTTAGCTAGTTAAGTAAAAAACTGCTAAATAAGTTACGAAATATATTGAATAATAAGTTACGAAATATATTGATAATATATTGAACTAGAATAGTATTTATTTTATTTGAGTAAAAATTTTCCGTAGAAAGTTAATTCGAGGAACAAGTTCTCTCTTCACGTTCTCATTTCATTTTCATGCGATTTTACAATGAAATACTCTTAAAATACTTCAAATATTAAAGATAATATTAAAAGTTTATTAA